GGTTCTTTGGAGCAGAAATTGAGTTTGTCAGATTTTGGAAGGTTAGAAGTTTGATTCATTTGATAAGCTTTCTTGGTTTTGTGTTGTTGTATGTGTCTTGTCTTGGCTTTTTGCCTTATTGAGACACACAATCAACAAGGGGGAGAAGAAATGTTGAAACCAAAAGCTTAAGCTTCTGAGAAAAAATTGAAGCGGATCAGAGTCAAACAAGAATGCCTTGTCAAGAATGCCTTGTCAAGAATGCTTGTCATCTGGTATGAAGAAAAATAAAACTTGCATTTTGTTTTTCCTCGTCGGAGGTTCGATGAAGAATGGGATCACCAGAAAAGAAATTGGTCCATTGACAGAGACACACGAGTTTGTTGTTGCCGTTGAACGTGACAGAGATGAACCAAGACAGATGGGTCTGGATTAAGTGCTTCAATGTAGAAGAGTTGCTTGATATTGTAGGAGATTCATGGAGAGAATATAAGCAAAGATGAATTTTTCATAACTCTGCAATTAATCAGTGATGGAGGCGATGCTGGTTATGACGTACATGTTGGAGGATGTGCTACTGTTGATCAGGATTGCATCGGTGCTTGTCGCTATTGGATAAGAAAGAAGAATTTTATAATGGAGAAGCTCAACGGGAACAGCAATTTCAAGAGAAAATTTTCAAAGGTTAAAGCGAAAGCTCAAGAATTTTCAGAAATTGAAACAACTTGCCTATTTGCGTTTTTGGAATCGAGAAGAAGTTTCATGGAAAATCTACTGGTAATGAAAGGTCTCATCAGAATACGGTAGAAGACAGTAATGAAACAAGATAATATGAAAAGTCTACAAAGGTTGGTGAGCAAGGTCGAAAGAATATTCTCATGGTTGATTCTTGGTTCTTCGTTTTCTTTGGCTACAGACCTCGGATTTTATCTCTGAAAGATGTTCTGAAAACTTGAGAATGAGATCTTTTCAAAGATATAAAGATCATTTTCTGGTTCCTTGTGGTTTCATGGGAAATTGCTCTTACAGTTGGCTGCTCGTCAGTTTGTATCGTTCCGAATCTGTCTTGCAGAATTGATCATAACTTTCAAACCGTAAACCCAAATCGTGATCCGTTTTCTCTCGTGGCTTTGTATGTCTGCTGTGGATATTTTCACCAAATGTCATAATTTTCTGGGTTGATTTACTACTCCGTTTGTGTTCTGCATCAAGACAGATCAAGAAGCATATGTTCATGAAGATTTCGTCAAGATGGGCATTTTTTTCATACGATGTGGTATACTCTGGCTTATATTGCTCCTGAGGCTCTAGGGAGGACAATTTTACATTTTCTAGGAACTGTTTGATTCTGGTGATCTCTAAAGTATAAGATTGTTTCAAGTTGAGGAAGGCATGAGTTGAGATCATAACGTTTTTGAGACTTTAAGTCTCAGTTTCCGCTGCAAATTACAAGACTAAGGTGTAGATTGTGTGAAGATTCTGTCTCAGTTGAATGAACCTGATACTTGTGGATATTAAGATTGTTTCAGAGGTTGTAGCTTGTTTAACATAAGCATGGAAGAGTGAAAGCGAAGAAGATCTACATTGCAACATCAAAGGAGGGCTTTGGATTCGGAGTCCGAGAACAGAGTAGAATGATGGCGGTTCAGAGTAGTTGATTTGGAGACCTCTAAAGCTGTGTCTTGCAAAGTTTTTCTTTTCCTTCAAGTTGAAGATTTTTGGAATGAAGTTTATGAAGTGTCAAGAAAGAGAATCTTTCCATTATAAGTGACAGATCACAAAATTTATGAAGCCTTCATTTGGTTAAAAAAATCACGTGGCTGACGGAGTTGGGCTTTCATCATCAAAGTGATAACATGGCTTCATTGTCTGAGTTTGATGCTTCTGCATACTATGTGCTCTTTTGTGTTAGAAAAGAGGCTTGTTTGATGAAAAGAAAAGTTGTTTGCAGAAAGATGAAGAAACAAGCAGATTTCTGTTTTTAGGTGGAGATAATTGATATGCATGTTTCAAAGGATGGTTTGCTGTGATTCGAAAAGAAACAAGGATGTGAAGTTTCTATGCTCTATTGAAACACTAGATCGATGGTTAATCAACGCTGGTCTGGTTGTGCATGCACTGCTGAGAGAAAGCCAAGAGGGAAAAGAAATTGGGAAGGAGAATCCTACGTGATGATTCTCCCTAGATGAGAAGTTGGTCGGGATCAATCTGTGTCTTAGAGTTGAGTAACTCAAATTAAGCGTAACGAGGTTAGCTTAACTGAGTTGTGGATGTTGGGTTATCATTATGAGAATTACTTCACAATTGTCTCATTCATGGGTTTAAATCTTGAAGACATCGTGCTTAGTTTCTGCTACTATAGAGATGAAACATATGATTTGCTTGCAAGTGGTAATGAAGTTGTGGTCAAGATTCAGTGCTGGTTTCATATTCCACTTCAAAAAATGGACTGTCCTGTGCATACGGCATGCTTAGATCACGTTTCTATTGGCGACAGCGGTTCGTTTTTTGATGTTTGACAGCTACCAGCCTGAGCTACTTTCATTTGGTTTTCATTGTATCCACAAGGATAGGGGGAGGTTATGTGATCGTGAGGTGTGCGTGAGCATGAAAAGTCTAAGATTGTCTGAAAAGCTTTGTTTAAAACAGGAAGCTTGGATTTGTGTCGAAAGCATGTGTAGCAGGTTTGGTACCTTGATGGAGTGCCGTTTGGTTCAAGTTTACTGCAAGTAATTCAAGAAGCGGTCTGTAGATTTGTGACTTTCTTGTGCTATAACATAGTTATTCATAGTGAGACAGAAATTGTCTGCATGCGTGCCAAATCTTTTGACCAAGGAGAATGATTCAAAGAGAGTATTAACCCTCAATTTTAGATGGGTTATATTGCGGATGGCCTCATTTGTACAAGAGAAGTTATTGTAGATAACAATTATATGGTTGAATGAGCTAACTGAAGCTTAGTGAAGTTGTGAATATGAGAACAAGCTGCATTTGGAGACAACGACTAGGTGTGTTCAAGTTTGTCTAAATTTGTGACATGATCAGATCTCTTGGATTAATTCTTAAGAAGAACGCTTGCAATGTCAGTTTTGTGGAGCAGATTAGAAGTCATGTCGATGCTTTTGAGCGAACAAATTTCGGTTGTGAGTTTTGGTGAAGGATCTGATTCTCTGGTCAGGATTGGTATAAGGATTTCGTGAGAATAATGATCAAGCCAACTAAGATTATTTGCAGTATGTATCAGCAAGGAAGAACCTATTCAAGAGAAGAACATGTTCACAGAGTTTTATCAACTCAATCAGGGGGAGATACTGGAGGATGCTGGTTATGTATGATTGAGCTGTAAAACTCAGGGGGAGAATGTGATGCAATGGTGTAGGGGGAGTGTCATCCGCCGTGTAGCTGCTCATATGAACGATTTGATTAACGACCATTGCATGTTTGGCTTGAGAATGGATATCTTCGTGAGATTTTTATTCTGGCCCATCTGTTGACGAAGACGTAAAGACTAAATGGGTGTTGACTTTGGTTGTCAATTAAGCTGGAGAATTTTGCAAAAGAAGAGAAAGGTGAAGATATTAAAGCAAGGAGGATCCTTGATTTGTACTCTGCATAAGATGCTTCATTATGATGATTAGCTCTTTAAATCCATTGACCATGTTGCTGATAAAGACTAAGCTTTCTGGATGGAATTAACAATTTAGAGAGCAAAGATTGGTATCTCCACATCAGACGTGGATCTTCTTGATTTTGAGGTTCTTGTGCAATCAGATTCAGGAGGAGGAAAATCATAGTAGAGCTCAAAAAGGAAGGAAATTCTGATTGCGGAGTATGCTCCAATAGGTATGATTAAGCTGATTCTGCACTTAGTGTTTTAACAGAGTTTTATCAACCAAGCAGGGGGAGATTGAGATAGTTCTTGAACAGAATAGTAGCAAGATGATATATGATTAAGGGAGAGCTTTTACATCATGATTATTGATGAGTATGCGTGCTTGACATGGTGAGCTTGAGTTATAAAACTCAGTTAAGAAGGGAGAGATTGAAAGTGCAGATATTGTCGGAACACTATTGAAGCTGTTGGAACAAGATCGAGATTGAGTCTTTCTAGCGTGAAAGCAAAAAAGGCCACGTGGGTCGTGGGCCATTGTTCAAGTTAAGCCCAATTGCTTGTAGAGACTTGAAGTGTGGCTCAAGTCGTCTAGGGTTTTTGGCACTTGATATAAATACCAAGAGACGGCAACATGAAGACTTGCGCGTCTAGGGTTTATCGAGAGAGGCACACATGTGTGTGTGACGTTGCCCCATCAACAAGATAGAGAGATCTTTTGATGGTTTTGTTGAGAAGCTATACTCGTCGGAAAAGACAATAGGAGTAGTAGTTTTCTTTCATTGTAATTCTAGAAAAGAGTGGTGGATACCATATAGCAATTGTAGGTTGCGGCCTTTTCTAGTGAATGGTTTCTGGACTTGGTCCCGGGGATGTAGGTTAACCGAACCCCGTTAACAAATCTCTTGTGTCTCATTTACTTTATGCACATACGAACTCGTTACACTCTCTCATCATACAAACGTATAGATCTAGCACACATATAGTAATTTCAACTTCAAGTGCAGGAATCCATACACTTCATTAATTCTTAGTTTCGCCTATTGTTGGTATTTTAACAGCACGTGAAGCCACATAGAAGCCTTTTTCAAACCAATTGTAATTAAAGAATAAGATTGTACCTCAATGACTAAAGACCTTTTGCAAGTTCCAAATCACTTTTGACTTCAAAAGTCAGCTAGAGAATCACGTAATGAAAACTTCAAGCAACTAAAGGAGGAAATTCGTAAATCCTTTTCCTTTAATCATGATAGAATTTACATCAACTACGCCCAAAATTTCATATTTTCAGAGGGCCATCCGTGGGAATATATTTAATCTTATATATAAGGTTTAACCTTACTGAAGCAATCCAAACAATATATTTCCCACCAAATCTGCTTACAGTTGTAAGATCAACAGATTTTGTTTATCAACTATCCTACATTTACTAAACTCTTTAAGTGCAACACATAGTTTTAGAACAAGTGGCATGATGCTTCCATCGAGATTGCCTTCAAAGACGACCATGAGCAATTTTTGGGGCCTAACAGAGTAGATTTAAGCAGTCGCACAGGTATGACACCTAAGACTGAATCATGAATCGGTGAAAATAAAAATAAGTCTCCTAATTTCCCTGATTTTAGAAGGCAAACATAGTCAATCAAGCTGCTTCAACAGAGAAAAGGTATCAGTAAATGAGAACTTGGATTGACAACACCGTGCTTATGTGCTCTACAATATTGGTCCAGATGTTTTGCTAAGTTCTTTATGTCTGTTTACTTTGAATCTCTATCTGGATCAAAAGATGACTCTCTACTTGTGAATAGTGTAACATAGACTTGCACCGTACAACGGTCATATATGACAATAATTGAATGCCAACTTGCATTCATGCTTAAAACATTAACCATTTGAATCTTACTGATGAAACAAGGAAATATATTGCAGATATTTGAGCTGTCTTACTATAAAAAACTAAAACATGTGGAGCAGATGGCAAGAGTTCAGAGAAAGAGAATGTAGAGATTGTAATTCTTACTGTTGTCTCGACATAGCCTTTAGGGCGTCGAATTTTGAGGTTTGAACCCACAAAGGAGCAGCCATCCAAGGAGAGTGCAGCAGAGGCATCGTGTGGTGTAAGGAACTCCACTAGCGCCTGACTTTTTTCCTTGTTTATCTGCAATTAGGACATAGATACTATCAGGTGTTATAATCGACAAACATAACGAGAGTGATATGAATAACGAAGTCATAGACCCAAAACCTACAATACAGCTAATACATGGTTCGCTTCCTTTTATGTGATTGGAGCCTGAAGAGAGCATATAGCTATTGAAGCATTCAATCAGAGACTTCTCAGAGGCCGAATCCGACACATTTTCTGCGTAAAGTCTCCTCATACGCCTGGTGGATTCGGTCAGTTTAACAGAATCAACTGACGTGATCTCCCTTGCCGATGGCGTCCTAAAAGGCGCCTCCATAAGTGGTTTCAAAAGCGTCAAGGAAGCCTCACTGTTGGTAGGATACGCTGTCTGAGCTGCTGCTTGGAGACCAGAAAAAACTGAGCCCGAAAACATGGCAGCAGTTACAGCAGGTGCAAGATCCCATTTAGCACCTTTTTTCTCAGAAGACAGATTAGGTGGTGAGACAGCCTTGGCAGAGGCCTCCTCCCTTCTTTTCCGTGGTGAATATCCACCAAGTTCACTTTTGGAAGCACTATACCGTTTAGACTTGTTATTTACTGTGCTTGCCACTTTGTTTCCATTATCATTAAAATGGTGCTTTCCCGACCTATCCGTAACAGCATTTTCCAATCGCTCCTCATGGTCTCTCTTATGACGCGATGTAGCTTTTTGAGCCCTTGGTAAGGGGGATGACCTTTTCTGTCTATCCTGCCCATGATCTCTACTTCTTGATCTCCTCCTTTTCTTTCTCATTTCACGTTGATGCGATTTTGGTTGTTCCCTTTTTTGCCATCGCTCTGAAACTTCAACACTGTGAACTTTTCCTGGATCATGCCTCTTTGACATATTCCTCTCCCTATTCTTCTTATGATCTCCATTTTGATTCTTTCTCTTGTTTCCATTGTCAGGTTTCATACTATTTTCATCTCGAGGTCTATCTGTCACCACTAGACTTCTAAGCCGCTTCCTACTACTGGATAAATTTTCAAGAGCACTTCTTGCTTGTTCACTGTCTGTTTCCTCTGTACGAATCTGCTTTTCAGTTGTCTTTGCAGCAGAGCTTTCTTTTTTTTCCTTCATTTTGGTATCCACACCAAGCCTATCTCTATCTGTCATTGTTATTATTTCAGTTGTAGGTAATTCTCCTTCAATTTTTCTGTCTTCCTTCTTCTTCTTTTTATCTCGTCTTTCCTCCTTACAACTAAAATTAGTTTCTTCTTTCTTTCTTCGTCTATCCTTACTATGTTCTTCCACTAATTTGGTTTCAGCTGTAGAGCTCTCTCCTTCTGCTTTCCTTTTTCTATTCGCAGCAGGCTCCTCCTCTTTTTTCCGTTTATCTAGGTTTTCTTCTCTAGAACTAAAAATGGCCTCTTCCTTCTTGCTTGAACTGGTCCTAACACGCTCTTCACGCCTTAGTTTCTCAGATCTATCATACCCTTTTTCAGACTCATGATAGTCAGAAACCTTATCAACAAGATCGTTACCCAGTAACTGAGCTGATCCCGCTCCCACATGATCCTCTTTCCTCGGTTTTTCTTCTCTAGAACTAGAAATAGCCTCTTCTTTCTTTCTTGAACTTTCCTTAACACGCTCTTCACGCCTCACTTTCATGGATCTGTCATGCCCTTTTTCAGACGCTTGATAATCAGAAACCTTCTCGACAAGATCGTTACCCAGTAACTGAGCTGCTCCAACAGGGTCCTCTTTCATCGGTTTTTCTAGTCTTTGTTCCCTAGAACTAGAAGTGGCTTCTTCTTTCTTTCTTGAACTGTCCTTAACATGTTCTTCCCGCCTCACTTTCTTGGATCTATCATTCCCTTTTTTAGACGCATGATAGTCTGAAACCTTTTCAACAATATCGTTACCCAGTAACTGAGCTGCTCCCACATGATCCTCTTTCATTGGTTTTCCTTCCCTAGAATTAGAAGTGGCGTCTTCTTTCTTTCTTGAGCTGTCTTTAACACGTTCTTCACGCCTCACTTTCTTAGATCTATCATGCTCTTTTTCAGACGCATGATAGTCAGAAACCTTCTCAACAAGATCGTTACCCAGTAACTGAGCTGCTCCAACAGGAACATCTTTCATTGGTTTATCTAGTCTCTCTTCTCTAGAACTACAAATAACCTCTGCTTTCTTTCTTGAGCTGTCCAAAACAAGCTCTTCATGCCTCAGTTTCTCGGATCTATCATACCCTTTTTCAGAATCATGATAGTCAGGAACCTTTTCAACAAGATCTTTACAGGCGAACTGAGCTGCTCCCATAGGGTCCTCTTCCATCGGTTTTTCTAGTTTTTCTTCCATAGAACTGGAAATGGCGTCTTCTTTCTTTCTTGAACTGTCCTTAACATGTTCTTCATGCCTCAAATTCTTGGATCTATCATACCCTTTTTCAGACTCATGATAGTCAGAAGCCTTCTCAACAAGATCGTTACCCAGTAACTGGGCTACTCCTACAGTTTCCTCTGTCACATTTTCCAAGGACTCTTTCCTCTTCCTCCTTAGCCTAATCTCATCAACGCTTGTAGGTCTTGTTCGCGCAGCAGATCCTTCATTTACAAGCTTTTCATGTCCATCAGGCGTTTCCTTTCGCTTATCAACTTCGTTCATCCTGCTTGTGCAAGGAGAAATAGCAAATTACTTTAATCATTTGAGGTAATGAGCAGAGCGCACAATTATCAGCAGACATAAATTATAAACTAAAAGACTGAGAACATAAGAAAATTATAAGATAATGCACAGCTGAATACATTATTTTCTTTGACAATTTACACTCCTTCGTCTCTTGCAACAGAGATATCATTACCAGGAACTTAAAAATTACTAGATACATGGAGCCAAAATCACAGAACCACAAACCTACCAATGTGCTAACACAATACTATTCCAGAATTGTCTATTACTTCGTAGATCTTCAATCTCATTTACCAAGTTTCAAACCACCAGAAAGGCAAGTTTCCAAACTGATCATACTTAAATCTATCACTGCGCCTCTAAAAACCAACACCATTTCCTAACTGGTTGACTAGAAACTTCAAGGTGAACGAACAGATTATAACTACGATCCAATTGAATCCAATCGCATTAAGTAACCCACGACCTAAAGAAACCAGACGGCGCAGAGTAGAAAAATCTCCACGATCCATTTTCACGCCAACTAACCACACAGACATTCAATTACTAGCAAGTTCTCATCAATCATATGCTCATACAAACCCTAGATACATCGAAATGAACAAGCAATCGTGATTCTTCCGCGACCAATCCAACTATATATACACCCAAAGAAGTGGCACAAACAAGCTTAACATGAGAGACGAAATAACAGGAACAGAAAAAAAGAAGCGAAGGAGAAACCGTCGCACCTCAGGCAAATGAAATAGCCTCGCCGACGGCAAAAACTAGCGCCTCCGGTAGAGAGTTTCGTCAACTTTTTTTCGGGGGCGGGAGATTAGAAAGAAAAAACCTCACAGCAGATTTTGTCCGCTGGATTTTAAAATCAGCTTCTTTACTTTTTTTTTTTTTTTTCACTAGAAAATTTTATTGATCATCGAAAACTTTACACAAAGCTGACGAGTTGAAGACAACCCTCGGAACCAAAAGCCGGAGGAACAAATATCTCTCCGGAGACTAAAACAAACTAGACCCAAAATGGCAAACATAAGGAAAGAAAAACCTTAAAAGTCAGGGAGAAAGCTAGTAATAAAGACTCCAAAGCAACACAACTAAAATCTCTTCGCCAAAAGCATCCGAAGAACATTTTAGCTACAACAAAGTAGAGACATACTCGGCTACAAAAACATTCCCCAGCCAAGATGGAAAACCAGTTGCTACATAAGATTGACGACGATCCTCTCTTGTGACACTCCTTGCAATAAGGTGAGCACCAAGGTTTGAGCTTCTATCTTCCATAGACAATTTCCACTCCAAAAGATATTCTAAAGCTGCGCCTATAATCCGAGAATGAAACTTGAAGGACGGCCAAGCTAGTGGTCTTAAAACAGCTCCTATCAAATCTTTATCTTCGGAAGCAAAGATAACCTTATTATAATTGAGACTCTTCATACTCTCAATTGCCCAATTCCAACATTGTAGACTTGCATCCAGTTTGCAAAAAACTGAAGCAAAGGACCTTCTACTATGTAACAAAACTTCTCCTTTTTCATTTCTCAAAACCCAAGCAGTTCCTCCCGTCTTAGAAACTTTGTCCCATGATGATCCTAGATTACATTTCAGCCAATCATGGGGAGGAGGAGACCATTGTTTCTTTACTGGATTTAGGTTCATCCTTGCTGATACCACATCTCTTTCATCCAGTGATTGCGCATGAAACCATTGGTTCACATTGTCTCTAATCTTGTCAATAGTTGCAGTTGCACAAAACCTTTTCCCTTCAATGCAGAATAAATTCCTGTTTTTCCAAATCTGCCACAATATCCAAGGAAAGGCTCTTCTAATTTCTAGAGACACAGATGGGTTCTTACTTACCAATATCAGATAGTAGATATTTTGAAAAATGGATTCTGAATCAAAACCATTTGCTGGAGAAGGAAAGTTGGACAGTGCCCAAACCTGTCTTGCCACCGAACAGGTAAAAAGGACATGATTTATGGATTCACCTTCTAGACCACAACTCTGACATCTTGAATCAACATTCAACCCTCTTGCAATCATTTTATCTACTACCGGAATGCCACCACTTACAGCTTTCCACATGAAATTATGGATCTTTGTGGCTGTGTTACTCTTCCATAATTGGTCTTTAATGGCGAGTATTGAGGGCTGCATCATTGCTTCTCTGAGCAAATCAACTTTCTCTCTTTGATAAGCAAACCAGTAGCCCGACTTAACTGAATAAGCACCACTTTTTGTATGTTCCCAAATAAGAAAATCCTCAGAAGACATCACTGGTTTCATCTTTAGAACTAACTCCACATCCCTAGGATAGAAATGATGCTGCAACTTAACAATATCCCAAGTTTGTGTAGTTATATCCAGGAGATCTTTCACCTGCAAATCCAAATCGAAAATAATATTCTTCATCAAAGGAGCTCTCATCACACCATCCAAGAGCCAACGAGTTGTCCAAACAAACGTGGATGCACCATCTCCAATCATTTGTCTAAGTCCTTTATTAAGCAAATCCCTACCATGAAGAATACTTCTCCAAGCAAAAGAAGGACTCTCACCCATTTCAGCATTTATGAACTTATCCTCATCAAAATATCTGCTTTTGAAGAAACGAGCAAAAAGGCTGTCATTATCTTGTAGAATTCTCCATGCTTGCTTCGCCAATAGCGCTTGATTAAAGATTTGGATATCTTTAAAACCCATTCCACCTAAGTGCTTAGGGATACACAATTTCTCCCATCCTATCCAATGCATTTTCCTTTTATCTTCTGTAGAATTCCACCAAAAAGCCGCCATAGCTGATGTCAAATTCTCACAGGATTTTTTTGGAAGCTTGAAACAGCTCATAGCATACACTGGCATAGCCATTGCTACCGATTTGAGCAAAATCTCTTTACCCCCTTGAGACAATGTTCTTGCATACCAACTTGCAGTGCCGGCTCAACACTTTTATAGGCCCTAGGGCAAAAAAAAAATTTAGGCCCTTAGAAATTTTTTTTTAGTGTTTTTGTGTTATAAAAAAAAATTTATATGATACTTTTATTAAAAAATTAAATATTAAAACTAAAAACAATAATAAAAATAAATTATGGGCCTTCTAAATTTTATTTTTATGTTATAATCTAAATTTTTAATATTTTTACAAAAATATTTTTTAAAATGGACCCCTTAATTATTGGAGCACGGGATTGGGCCCCTGGCCGTCGCACCGCTCGCCCCCCTATTTGAGCCGGCACTGCCAACTTGACATCCTAGCTTTCATTTTATCTTGGATGTAAGCTAACATGTTAACTTTTGATCCACTAAAGCACTCAGGTAATCCCAAATAGGTACCAGCCCCACCTTCCTTAAGAATGCCCATCTTTTCTTGAATCTTTGTCTTGACTTCAGGTTCAACCTTATCACCAAATGTGATAGAAGATTTGTCCAAATTTATCACCTGACCTGTAGTCTTCCCATAATCAGATAGAATTAGTTGAATGGAGTTACACTGATGGTCTTCAGCTTTAATCAGAAAGAGACTATCGTCTGCAAAGAATAGATGATGGATTGCAGGGCCATTGGTGGAAAACTGAATACCACTTATATTTCCTTCCCGTTCAGCCTTATTAAGCAAATGAGTCAGGCCTTCTGCACAGAGCACAAACAGCGCCGGCGATAAAGGATCACCCTGTCTGAGTCCCCTCTGAGGATTGATCAGACCAAAAGATTGGCCATTGATTAGGACTGTATATGTGACTGAGGTAATACAAAACATCACCAAATCCACCCATCTCCTGTGAAATCCTAATGCAATGAGCAGAGCTTCCAGATAGTTCCACTCTATTCTATCATACGCTTTGGACATATCCGTTTTGATTGCCATAAACTCTTTAGAAATCTCCTTATGTGTTCGCAGTCCATGAACAGCTTCATGTGCAATTAAAATATTGTCGGAAATCAGCCGTTCAGGGACAAAAGCTGATTGGTTTGGAGATACTATCTCAGCCAATAACGGTTGAAGTCTGGAAACTATTATCTTGGACATTACCTTGTATAAAACCGAGCATAGACTTATTGGACGTAAGTCACTCATGAGGGATGAATTGGCCTTTTTTGGGATAAGACAAAGTTGGGTGAAGTTCCATTCTTTAGGGAAAAAACCTGATTCAAAGAAAGTTACCACTTCCTTTGTGATTTGATTCCCAACCACATCCCAATATTGCTGGAAAAACAAGCCAGTCATTCCATCAGCCCCTGGTGCACTTGATGGTTTAATTGCAAAAACCGCATTTTTAACTTCCTCTTTTGTAACTTTCCTTAACAAATCGTGATTCATCCCCTCAGTCACTCTTGGAATAAATCCCTCTAGCATCGCTTGAGCATCAATGGGAGAAGAAGAGGAGAATAAGGCTTGAAAATAGCTAGCAGCTACTTCTCCTTTTGAAGCCTCTGATCTGTGCACATAGAATTTTATATTACTTTATTATTATTGTTAGACTTTATATTTTTGTTAAACATAGTATGATTATTTTTATTTTAATAATTACATCTATATATATTATATCTATAAAGTATAAATACATTAAAATAAAAAAATCGGTTGACCCGCGGTCGAACCCGGTTGACCCGATGACCCGGTGACCCAGCAGGTAATCCGGTTCACTGTTCGGGTCGGGTATCAAAACATTGCATTTTACTCAAGCTCCAATAATTCACCAACACACACATACATACCAAAAAAAACGCACTTAGCCCCTCTCTCACACACATATATATGTACAATGCACATATACTTACAAATTACAGATTGATGACAAAAAAAGTTAGAAATTATAATTATTGTACCGTCAAGTTTCTTCCTAGCTGTTTCAAGAATGGCATATCTCGAAAGAGCCTCTCCAACGTTGAAAGAAACACAACTCAAGATATACCGGTAAGCCACTCTCTCTTTAATTCTCTTGTCCAATTTCATTCCCGTTTTAGTTAACACCGTACCTACCAATCTTTGGTTTTTGCTTCAATATATTAAGATGGTTTGATTTGATTTTGTCGTAATTAGATAATAGTAACATGAATTTACTCAAAATGAATGGACAAGAGATGGAAATCCATATAGTTTATATATTATTTAAGATTCATCTCCACTTCCAATGTGAGATATTATGACATAATCAAGCTCGACAAAAAAGTAATGTAATGCTCCATTGTCCGTAAATCCATGGCAGTGCTGTAAAACCTATTGAGGTCGATCAACATTTTCACGAGTTTGGTTCGATTCAATATCACATCAAGGTATATTTTTTGGTTCTTCCTTTTCTTTTTGATAATAATTTTCTTTTTTATTCGATTATAATTACCGTTACAAATACATGAAATATATGATTTTGGACATGCAGTACTCTGTTTCGGATCCAAATATTGTGCATGTATCGACGTCAACGTTGCTTGAGACACAAGGAGCAGTGACATTGAAAGAGATTTCAACTCACACTCATGATGTGATTAAGAATATTGCAGTTGGTGTGATTGATATTGTTGATCCACCAAGATTAGGGTTTCAATTGACCCTTGGGATTCACCTTGATAAAATGCCACGTGGCAAAGGTAATCTTTTCATTGCGATTTCCGTGTAATTTATGCTGAGAACATTGAATTTTCAAGATGATTTACGAGCAATGAATAAGAACAACAACAGGCCCATCAGGATTGTTTATCACCCTAGTGAGCCTTTCTACGTATTTAAACAGGTTTAGTTATCCCAATATTTGTATTTTATCATTATTTTACCGCATTTTATTTATGTATTTTAGAATTTTAGTTACAATT